CAGTTCGAAGATTATCAAGTCTGACGAATATCTGTGTAACATTTAGATTTTGTCGATACTTTTTGCCGGTGAGTGTAGATGGCGTAAGAACTTTATAAAGGGGATAATAAATGACGAGTAAACTGTAATCGGTCAAATTATAAGCTGTTGGACTGTCAATTCGACCTTCATTGTGTCCGCAAGCCACGGTATTAGTATTCAACTGCGAATTTGCATTTGCGTAGACATTGTTATCAAAGAAACCAATATCAGGGGGAAAAAAGACTTGACTGGAAGGCTGTTGACAAAGCGGATAGAAATAAGTGGCATTGGAATTGTTATTAACAGTTTGATTCACTGGATAACCGGTTGCGTAATTCGAGTCCATAATACTGTCAGTATGGTCAGAGTCCATACCGATACTATATGCCTGATCGGATAAAATATTGGAAGCATAACTTTCGTGAATTGATTGGTTATTAAAATCGGCCATAGCGAAACATTGCAAACTATTCGCGTACTTTTTATTTTGGCAAAAGCAACAGCGTGACCAAAAATTACGCACTTATTAATTTTATCTATTAAACTTTTGAATATACTGTATCTGCATTTTGTATAAAAATAGCAAATACGAATCCAAAGTTGATACATTAGAAGAACAGAATTGTGTGGGTTTGCGTCAAATTCTGGTGCCACTTCAGGCAGATACGAAATCCAATTCATTTTTGACTGTATCACCTACTATGTAGGGCTTAAATTATCCAAGGATAAAGAAATGGATAATTTTCTGGGTAAAAAACATAATAAACAGATTCGTAACGGTGATTTCAAAAAAAAAAAAAAAAAAGAAGTAAAAATTTAGCAAGTTGTGGCCCGATGCGCTTTCGAAGATCCGGCAAAGATTTTGTAAGAATGGCGATCCTTTCACGAAAGAAGAAAAGGAATCGGGAAAAAAAACTTCAAACTCAAAATTCATTTTCGGATAGCTCGTCAAATCTTATGATAAATCACATGTCGAGCAAATTTTGGAATCGCAATCTATTTCTAATGAGCTCCTAATTTATCTAAACAACCTCAGAACAAAATACAAATTTACAGAAACAAAAATCCCTAAAACATACAGCCTTTGATAAAAGAATTTAGAATAGAACTTTTAGCGGAAAAATTGTTAATGTAGATTAGACTTCCACAGATAATCAATTACTTGCAATCTATCTGTTTGGAAAAATAGCTTGGCAGAAGATAATACTAAACGAGAGCAAATTACGAAGCTGGTACCAATACAGAAAGTATTTCGAAAAAGACTTGATGATATTTTACCCGAAAATTAAAAAGATGATAAGAGAGCCTATAATTTGACAAGTGGCCAAATTTATGATAAAATGCTTACAGCACCTTCTCGTGCAACCTTGCGGAAAGAACTCAAAACCAAACATATTAGCGTAATTGGAGAAGAAGAAATTAAGCAAATTAAATCTTATCGTGCAAATAAACTTTCGAAGTTAACTGATATGCAAATCGATGCAATTAAGAAGTATTTCATTAATATTGATACCCACCACGTGACCAAAAGTCACGCCGAGCTATTTAACTCATCAAATACCAAAATAATGTTACATTCCCTCTCTGTATTCCACCATTTAGTCATTCGGTGACTGCCTCCTACAATTCGGAAGCTGAGGTGAGTGAGAAAGCCAAGTTAAGTATATCTACAGATACTTCTTCATATCCCGCACAGGCAGACACATATGATTATTCAGGTTTTAACTCGGATTCCTCTAAAAATAGAGTAATAATGAGGAAGAAAATAATGATACTGGTGCAATGTTTTCTGACAATTATGATGCTCGTTATATGATTATGATTTAAATAGCGGAAAGAGAACGTATAAAAATTCGAATTATTTAAGTACGCATCTGATGATGTTATTCGTGTAATCTAGCCACTTTGTGACTGCCTCCAGCAAGTTTCAGATACGGTTTCGGACGTAATGCTAATTTGAGTTAACTTTATGTGTTACAACCCCTTATAATATGAATGCAATGTAGTTGCGGTTGAATTTTTCTTATATAAATAGGCTAAAGTTATTTGGGGCTTCGGCCCTTTCCGTTTGTATGTCATATTTTCCATGTATAATGGGGGATACATTTGATCTGGAACATGAACTTGCATTTAACGAAGTATAGTCATATGATAAAAAATTTGATTATAAAGTAATATATTCGTATGTTTTGGTAAGAATTTAGTGGATGTGATATTATATAGAAATCATTTATTTAATTCGTATACGGGGGTGGGTAATTTGTAACGATTAAAATTTTTGAGCTGGGCTTTGCTTTGGGAGCACTGTGATGGATTCTGATGTCAAATTCTGCAAATCGTATGGTGGTGACTAGTATTGGAGATATAATGTGATTTCTTTGCACTATAAAGCAGTGATATTATTACGTACTTTTTAAGATGCCGATTGTTTGTAGCCAGCTCAGCTTCGTGTGCGTGGAATACCCGTGTCTTTTGAGAAACATTGCACTTAAATGTGCATAAAAGTAGCATTATTGTTTACGTAGAAAGTATTAGTATGTAGTCTAATTTATACTTACTGAGTGTAATAACGTTGTTTCTAACTTAATGGTACAGCTCCATGGATTTATTTGATATTATAAGTGGGTTAGGTAATATGTAACTAAAGAAAATTAATGCTGAATGACGTTCTTACGATACGCTAAATATGAGACAAACAGTGAAAAATGTAATAATTAGGATTTTGTTAAAAGGTTACAATTTATTAACTCTCCACAAGGCGTTGAGCGTAACCTAATTATAATAACTCATAAAACGGTATATTAATATGTTATATCAGACAATCTAATGTCGTTTAAACTCGCCGATCTCTTTAATTATTAATAATATATTTAGCTAAGCTAGCGCGGATAAATCACTTCTAAGAACGAGTTAAATACTCCACTAATAATTATTATTACGTTAAGCAATATACACATATCAGATTCAAGGACTGCATTATAATTAGTGAAGATAAAAATTTAAAGACAGATTTAACACGGCAATTGAAAACATTTTATATGACAGTTCAACAAAACTATTTAAAATAAAGTCACGCAATCAAACTTTTTAATAATTAGCAAAGGAGCCATGAAAATTACTTGTACCGTGAAGGCTCGATATGGTATGGCCAAAATCTGATTTTCATAAATTTTTCAGGGGAGAGAAAATGGCGACGTCTTGTTCGATTTTATTGTTATTACACAATAGATTTCACGTTGCTATAAACTTGTGGCGTATTGCAAGTAAAAAGTATTAGACTATAAAGGCACCTCTTACATTACAAAGTGAACGGACGTCAGTAGTGGGTGCCAAGGAAAGATAAATTGTGCGATGTAACACAAACATTGAGATCGTTTAATTTGGTGACACCTAAAATTTTTTCTAATGGCAAACTATTACTATGTCGTTAGCATCAGAGACTGCTAACAATCCAGCCATTGCCAACTTGATCCAATCCTGTTATTTGGATAAAGATCATAAACTTGAATGGATACCTTACGAGGAAATTACCAACGTAAAACCTATTCAAATTGACAACGTTTACTACGCTATTCGCAAACGTAATGATGATGAGACGTCAATAACGCTAGTATTACTTGGAAGTAGCGAAGAATGCACACCAACGCTTGTGAGTGAGTTGGCCAGAACATACTCACTTCCAACACACAAGTACAATAACAATGACAATAACTTTGGAAGACACTCCGTATGGCTTAGTAAACGCAACAACCTCATTTTTGGATTCACCAAGTCTAATGACGATAATTATTACATGGTTGCTGAAAGAAAGTTTTACCATTGTTATTCTCTTTATGGCTTCTGCTCCACATGTGGAATACTCCGATGTAGTCTCGTGTGGTGCATCTGTGGTAATAAACAATTATCCGATGGGTGGACTAGCAACAATCATCAACTCGATGACTTTATTAGGAAATCTCAACTACAAACAAACTCACCAAATGACGCCTATCTCGAATGGATTCCATTTGATTGTATTACCGATAAGGGAGATTATGCATACTTGAATGGTCTATCTACTCGATATGTTAAATTGAGATAACAGACGAAACGCATGATTTGTATTATGTCGAGGTAAACTATTTACTATGCGTTTATGTTTATTGACTAGTTTAAATAATTATTGACATATTATTTCCACTAGTTATGTGATAAGCATCCAGATATTCTTAACACGGATGTTTGGGTTACCATCGGATTCACATACAAAGCAAGCGAACAAAAGTATTGTCTGATAAAAAATAAATATGAGGATAGATTATGTCTGGCGTGTACAATGAAATTAACAGCTGAGATCGATGTATTCTGCTATAAGTGTAAAGCACCAACCCCTCCTGATTGGACGACTGGCAACAAATCTTTGGATTCATTCATTATGGAATCGTGGAGTAATACGAAGAATGTAGACGATACGTATATACAATGGATAGAGTATTCTACATTGATGAACGTACGAGAAATGACGTCATTACGCCATGGATGCACGCATATAGCAGAATGGAATGAATTGCCCCGTGTAACACTTAGAAAAATAGTTGATGAACAAACCGATAATTTCCATCAGGTAATTATACGTGTAAACAATATAATCGATAAGTGCGTATAATGCGTTTAAATTGATCAGTATTATAACTATAACGTTGTATTCTGTTTACTCAAAATAGTTAACTAATGAATATCCGACGATATTAACACCTGAGAATATCTGGATAATTGGAATTACCCAGGAGCCATCTACTCGGGAATATTATTTGGTTTTCTATTATGACGTGTATACAATACTGGACAGCTTTATACGAAATGACAATCGTGTTAAATACATGCAGTATAACGACTTTTGTGAATGCAAAAGAGATTGGATCTGGTGGTTACGGAATAGTTTACACTGCCAAGTATAAAAAGTATTCAGAAATAGAGGATATGCAACAAACAGTTGTACTCAAACGGTTTAAAAGTTTCGATAAAACGCCGGAATTATTTATTTCCGAGGTAAGCAATAATTGGTCGTATCAATTAAAATGATATCTAAGCTGACTCTTTATTATTTAACAGTTCAGAAATCATGCCAAGTGCATAAACAATGATTTCTCAAAAATTTATGGAGTCACACAAGATCCAGCGACAAAAGAGTACATGATTGTTATGCAATATGCTAACAATGGCAGTCTTTTGTCTTATTTGAATCAAAATATTAACAAACTGACGTGGAAGATGAAATTAGAGCGTTTGAGGGATATTGCAGATTATATATGGACTGTTCATTGTGCAGGATTAGTGCACTGCGATCTACATGGTGGGAACATTGTTATACACAATGATACGAGTTATACAGAATCATACGTATGCGATCTTGGACTCTCACGATCGGTGAATTCACACAAGTCCAATCCAACCATTCAAGGCGTTTTGCCCTTTATTGCACCGGAAGTCTTTCATACCCGCGAATTTACTCAGATGTCAGACGTGTATTCATTTGGTATCATTATGTATTTGATGGCAACTGGCGAACCACCGTTTAGAGATAGGAAATTTAATAGAGACTTGGTATGCGATATTATGGAAGGACTGCGACCGTCGATGCCAGATTCTGCGCCAGAGGAATACAGGAAACTTGCCGAGCGGTGTTGTGATGCTGATCCTGATAAGCGTCCAAGGAATGGAGAGACACTTTATAATGATATTTGCAAGCTTGTTGAAGATGCAGAAAAGAATAAATCTGGTGACAACGTGTGGAATGCCGTTTATCATAATGATGTAAAGCCATTATCACGTCTCGAGAAGGAGAGTAAATATTCTAGCACACTCTTACCTACTGGAGATTTGCCTAAACCAAGAAATAACTATGATTCTCATCAGTTACCTCCCTTACCAGATTTAGAAATAGCCAGCAGCATACTTGATGTAAAAATAGAGGTAGGGGAGGTAGACGAGGTAGACGAGTTGTAGGGGAGGTACTATACTAGAAAGTAAAAATTTTTGTGTTTAGAGTCTAGCCATCTTGAGCGTAACACAAATAACTAATAACGATAATAATAATAATAATGTTTTACATGAAAAAATAAACCGCTGTCCTCTTTCACCTCTGCTTTTCCTTTATTCCTTCTACGTTCTCTTCCTTAAACATGAAGCGGTATCAACCATTCGAATTCATAATGCATAATCCATCTAAGCGTGGAGTCACACAGTCCAATTCTTCAAACAGACATGGCATTACTTCTTCCTGGCTTCCAGATTATCGACAGCGAAAATGCAAATGATATTAATGGTGTGAGCAATTTACTACTATTATTTAGCTTATGTATGTATCGATATTAATATAGACTATTATATCCTACAGAGAACACGCAAATGAACTTAATTAAAAACCAGATTATGAGTAACATAAACGCTTCAAAGCGCCGCTGATAATAAAAAGTTTGTCAAAAAAATATATATGCAAAAAAAAATAATAAAATAAAAAAAAAATTCATGAACCAAACTCGGAAAAATATTCCGACGAAAATTAAATTTGCGTGACTTGACTAATTTCACCGATATCGTTAGACGAGAATAACGACAGAGACGTCAACAACTTTTTTCGCCAATTTTTTACTAAGATTTACCAAAAATAAATAGTACGAATTGCTTACGTATTTTCTTTTTAAAATCGGCAATAGTTCTTAATTGCTTAGGGGAGCGAAGCCCTCAAAAAGATTTTCCTACCTAGTTTGCAAATATGAAAGTCGACGTGAGACGAAGTGTAAACGTCGGAACGCAGAATAATTACAGAATAGCCAAAACGCGAAATA